TCAATCGATTTCTTCGTCCGTTCAATCCCTCGACAGAGCCGCTTTTCGAAATCTTCGACATCTTCCTGCAAATCGACGAGGTGCTTTTTCGATTTTTTTATGTCATTCCTCAAAGACGAAGCCATTTTTTGAAATGAAATCTGAAAATACGAAAGAAAAAAAAATCTTTTTTTTATAAAATAAAAAAAAGGTGAAAGTTCAAAACCATAAAATGTCGATTTCTAAAACCGAAAATAAAATGACCCGAAATTTTTAGATTTTACAAGAAAAACAAATCGATATTCTGAAAAAATTTCAGTTTTCTTCTAAAATCACAAATAAATAAAGGCGGGGGGGGGTTAAGAGAAAAGATAATGAAATATGAGAGAGTGGGGAACACAGAATAGTGAGAGTTAGAGAGAAAAAATAAAATATATAGAGAGAGTAAGAGAAGGAAAGAGTGTGTCAGAGTGAGTGAAAAGGGAGAGAGATCGAAAGAAACAAAGGAGAGGGTGGCTATCGTTGCAGCAGTGAGAGGAGAGAGAGAAGAGCAAATCGAGAAAGGGAAAGAAAGAAAGGGTAAAAGTAACAGAGAGAGAAAAGCTCCAATTTCCTGTCTTCACAATCACTTTTAACATTCAGATGTTAATTAAATTGCTTCAGTGTTCCTTTCACCGGACACGATTTAAGAAATTTCAAAATGGCGGCTTTTTATCGTCTGCTTACGCAACGATTCATTTTTTTTTTATAATGACAAAATTGAATCCATCTTAAATAAACTGGTCCACTCATTAATATATATATATTTTTAAATTAGGTCATTTTTTGGTGGCCTGTGAAATATTTTTGTAGATTAGCATTTATTAGACTTTCAAGCCATGACGATTGACAGAAACGAAAATTTGGTTGGTTTTTTTTTACATAAAGGGGGTCCTGTTTATAATATCATCAAAATGTAAAATCGATCCCTGATTTCTCTAAAAAAGTTTATTTTCTTATAAAAAAAAAACTTCGTTTAAAGAAGAAAAAATATTTACAAGTTTTGTATGAAAAAAAAAGTCACATAAATTAATCAAAGTCTGCATTCGTTTATTCTTCACTTAAGATAAAAAAAAAATAATTTCTCCGTCTGTGAATTGCTCCCCCCCCCACAAAAAAAAAGAAAAGAAAAATATGCAGATATCTTTGATGAAGGCCGATTTTCAAACATAACATTTGTAAATAACAAATAAGTTCACTAATACTTCCAAAGTCAGGGATCGTTTTTACACGATATTGTTATTATGAACAAGACCCTCACTTTATAAATCAGAAAAAATGAATCATTTTTCGATGCTGAAAAATGTCTTCGTCGTTTGAAGAAAATCCAATTAATTCCCTCCCACCAAAAATGTTCACCATTTTAATAAAAACGGACCAATATATTTAAATAGTCCCAAGAAGTGAATTAAGTTTTTGGAAATATTACAAATTGTCTAAAAACGAAGTAAAAAAGGAGGAAGAAAGCAAAAGAAAACAAATTCGATGAAGGAAAGAAATAAGCAGACGACATAAATAAAAACATAAAATAAACGTCATCTTCAATTTTTCTGATATCATTGGAAAGATTTTATCAGAAATATTAATTAAAAACGAATTTATTTTACCACAGAATCCAGACCAGACATACTTTGTAAAATTATATGAATAGAAAAAAATAAAAGGTAAGAAGAAAAAGTTTATCTCTAAATATGAATGCGGTTAAAAAAATAATAAAAAATAAACGCAGGAATTCTCGTTGTATTGATGAAAACATTTGGGAAATTTCGATTATTTGAAAAACGATATGAAAATTCTGACTTGCATTTGATTTCGTTTCGATTTTACTTGAGTGAAATCAGTTTTTCTTTAAATTTCGGAGATAAAAAAAACGTCTTCTAATATTTATTTCTGTTAAAATACAGAAAATGTGGCACAAGGCCGAAAAGTGAGTGGGAAAAAGGACGGTCATCATTTGTCTTAATTTAAAACTTAGCTAGCCACAACCACTGATCCAATCATACAAAACAATATTCCTAGCACCAAAACAACACATTTATACAAACCTTTCTTACTACATCCACCAAAATACCTCATTTTCTCAATGAAAATCCTAAATAGTCCCCATATGTACATATATTGTCTGTGGGGAGATGGGAATAAAAACAAGTTAAAAGATCCCCAATGGTTATGTACAATATGACTTTAAATTATTTACATGAAACTAAACAAAATCAAGTTAGTAATAAAACCCACCACAAACCTTAAATGTGGCAGAAAAATCAGTTAACTGGACGAAATCGATGCGGGACTTCAAAAATATATAAAATATTAATCCATTCCAAGCACTCACAGAGACACGCAGTCATTCTGACACAACAACAAATACGAAAGACACACACGCGAAAACGAAAGGCGCCCCGCATCCACCAGAGAACTGACATCACTGACCACCTAACGAGGGAGGGGATGGGGAGTTAAACTAAAGGAAAAAAGGGACAGAAATAAAAGGGGCCAATGAGCAAACACATCCTAGTTAAGTTAACTGGAAAAGAAAAGAAAAACTAAAGCATCAAAAACCTAACTTCTAGCCTAAATCCAGGGATGGGTTGCCCAAGTTCAACCCAGGAAAACAATATCCTGATGCCTAACCGGCATCAAAATGCCACTCCAGGTCAGCACCTTGGTGCTTAAAGAACAAGATCAGTTGGGAAGAAGTGAACTCTCGCCATCATAGAATTCCTTCTGACGCGTCGACCAAATCACGACTCTCATAACACCTAGTAAACAAAAGAACGCATAGTGTTCAGCCTTCGTCATCTGCGGCACCACATTGCTACAAACAGATCTGGCCTCGGGGACAAAGAACTTACCCTGCAGCATAACGGACCATGAGACCATCAACAAACCTGCACAACGGCGCTACCACCCTGCAATGGTCTCGTCGGCAGTTTGGAGATTTCTCCAAGCCCGTTGAACAAAGTCTTTTGGCGACCCAGAGGGCCCCACGAATCACCAGCCAGGTGAGTGATGCCTCATCGTTATTGAGGCATTTCAACCCAGGCGTCCAAGAGATCAACTGCTTCGTAAGACCGAGCTCGTCAATCAGATCATCCTGAACGCATCCCTGTCCTGATCAATATTTGATACAGTGCCCTACGAGACAACGCCTGGACGTTGGAGAGGCCATCCAACGCCCATAAGAGGCGTTTCAGAGCAACACAACATTCACGATAGAAGGAGCATTCGGCTCGGGGTAAACGGCGGGCCTCCTTCTCGCTCGAGTGCACACTTCTCAGGTTTGGGAAATTTCTACGGACGTCTTCCTTCCAGAAGGCGCCCACCTCATCCGATTCGCGACACATTCGGTCTATGAAGGCGATGCGAAGCATATATTGACGAATTTTAATGCTAGGCACACCCAGACCGCCTTCAGAAGGATGAAGGCAACAGATCTCCAGAGATACCATAGCGGCCTTCTCTCTCCACAAGAAAGAGGACAAGAGCCTTACTAATGACATTAGTGTGGTATACGGAAGTGGAATTACAGAGAGTCGGTAAAGGAGGATCGGGTAGCTGTGTGAAACACATACTTCCGCCCTCCCCTTCAAGGAAAGTCTCCTCCGAGATGACAGATTAGCCGCGATCTTGGCTTTCCCTTGTACCTCCGACCAATTCATTTCCAACTGGAGATCAGGACCGAATAAGACGCCGAGTATCTTGACCGGCCCATCCATCCAGAGGAAAAGTCCGGGGAGAGAAATTCTCTTCTACTCACCCTACAAGCCAACAGACTTATCGCAGTTGATCTTGGCCCCTGTCACCATCTCATAACTACTGATTTCTTTGCTGACTTCGTTAGACACAAACAAACAAATAAACAAATACGAACACACATGTGTCTTTAGTGTGTATGTAGTCTTGTATATATGTGTATGTGACATTGCAAAACGTTTTATAAAAAATTACTTCATAATATTTACATTTTATATTATGTATGAATCTATCTATCTATCTATCTATCTATCTATCTATCTATTTCAGTCTACACATTATCTATCTGTCTGTCTGTCTGTCTATCTATCTATCTATCTCGAGACTTTTTGTCTTACCGAATTTACCGCGAGCTGTACAAGACATTTTCTTTGGATATTCTTCGGAGGAAGTGTCATTTTTGTTTGCCTCCCATTATCATCTTGTGTATCCATTGTTGTCTTTCTTTGTCGTCTTATTCATCTGAATTGCCTACATTGTTTCGAATTGTGTTGGGGTGACGAGGGTAAGCCAACATCATGTCGGAGCCCGAATCTCTTCCTGCTTCTTCTACAGAAGTAACTCCTTCGGCATGGGCAAGGGATAGGCTCCCACAAAAAAGGGGCCAGAATATTTCAAAAATTTAAAAGAGAAGTTAATGGAAATGAATTATTACCGGTGCCGTCTGTATTGGACACGGTGAATCCAAGGACAATCTCGTTATTAACAACGGACCCCAAGACCCGGAAACTAAATATCGTTATTAGGGAAGTGATGGAGGAGGCTCTGAAAAGTTTCTAAATTGCAGCCCAAATTCTAGCCAGAAGAAGTAAGTCAATGTGGAACATCTTATTGCCGACAGAAGAGAAAGCCAAATCACTGGCAGGCTGTATTCTAACTACTTCGACAGTCAGGCTTCAGACTGAATATATGGGGACAAGAAAGGCAAAAGTGACTCTACATAGGGTACCACTCTACATATCTGAAGACCATATTGGTTTTTTTCTTTTCTAAATATGGGGACGTCTCCGACGTCTGCCCTATTAAAAGTAAGACCGGAATTGCCACAGGAGATATTGAAATCTCAATTACATTAAATCGAAAGTAATTTACGGAATACCCAACACATTAATGTGTGAGGGTAGACTTATCTATGTCGTTGTGGAAGGTCGTCGGCCATTTTGTTGGGCTTGTGGAACTGCGGGGCATTTGTCAAAGGCTTGCACAGGACAAAATCCTACCCCACAACCCTAAAAGAAAAACGAAGCAGCAACTTCACAGGCAACTTCACAGGCAACAGCACAGACAATCCAAAAAACTGGAGAGTGGACGGAAGTCGTCAAGAAGGGACCCAAAAGTACAACCGCTTCCCTTCAGCAGCATAATGAGGGTCCCCAACTAGAGCCAGGGGACCAGCAAGAAAGGGAAGTAGAAATGCAGATGCCCCCACCTCGGTTGTCCTCACTGAAAAGAGGGAGAGAGGAAACAGAAGAAGAAGAAGAAGAAGAAGAAAAGGTGGAAAAATAAAGAAAAAAGACAAGCGAGCTTAAGCCAACAAAGACTCTGCCAAAACCAAGGCTCAATCAATCCCGGCTTCGCCAGTGAAGAAGCCTGAAGAAAGTACCACAAGAAGTCTTCCTTCTTCCCCTCTGAAAGCACGACTGTCCCTCATTCGCAATACACCTCCTCATCAAACACCCCCTCCCAATACCACTGCAGCCGATGATATTTCTACTCCTCCCAACACCCGATTTTCCAAATCTCCAAAGCCCAGCCCCTCCCAGCAGATTTCTTCTTCTCGTAAGAAGAAATTCCCAACTGGGGTAATGTCTTGCTGTGTGGACAAGCAGTCAATAGAAGCGGGCATATCGAAGCAAAAAGGAGCTTTGTTGAAGCCCTTGTTAAAGATGGCGTCAGTAGACGGACTTCCTACAGATGATCCCCGAAATTTCCCCAAAGCTGCCGGCGTAATAACATGGATAAAGAGCACAGGGCGAAATGTAATCGCGTGGCGAAGGATGCCTTTCCGGAGATCAGTATGGTGGAAATAGGAACCCCGGAACTGAGAAAGCTACAGAAATTTTGTGCAGGGAGGGTCTCAATAATCCTCCATCCCTCATTATACAGGACATTAAAACTAACGTATCCGTCGGACGTTGGCGGTATTGTCCGAGATGGTTGTATAACGACAGAGATGCGGATAGGGAGCCTTGGACAATCCGTCGGGGTCCTTTCATCCGCAGATTTCCGTCCAGTCTGTGAGTAGGGGAATCAACTTGAAAAATGTCTCTCAAGATAGCTAGTTTGAATGCGAGGGGCTTGAGGGATCGGAGTAAGGCCGCCCGACTGCTTCGTGATCTCTTGTCGTTCGGCGTAGATGTAGCTGCGATCCAGGTGACGCAATTTGCTTGCGAGGTTGATGCGCGTTTGATGTCTAGTGGCTATGTTGTCTATTCAGCATACGTGAACCAGCCGACCAGAGGTGTTTCCTGGTTGGTTAAGCGTACCCTGGATGCGAGGGTGGACTGTGTCCATGTCGATGCGGGGGTGGGGTGGCGTTTGATCGTACCTGATATTGCCGTGAACAGTGGTTCGTTTCGGATCGTTGCGGTTTATGCGCCCAACGATCAGGGGGAAAGTGTTTCGTTTTTCATGGTCGATTCTTCGCGCTTAGTCTTAGTGGGGGACTGGAATGCCATCCTGGGGCCCAAGATAGACAGGGTGCAGGGAGCTAGCGGGAGGTCATTGGGTGATCGTAGCCTGGTTGATCTGATCGACGAGTTCGGTCTCGTCGATAGATAACGAGTCGATCACCCCGGGCGGAAAATGTTGACGTGAACTCGTAAGTGGCCGTTTACCCAGATGGCCAGCTACCTGGATAGAATGATAGTGAGAAAGGCCGATGTAGACCTGCTAGATTGTCCATCGTTCCACTGGTTAGGCTATACAGACCATATACTCGTGCCCGGGTAGCGTTAGATTCTAGGCCTAGACTGGCTGGACACTGGAAGTTAAATCTGTCCTTACTGGACAGGCGGGACTTCCAGCAGCAACTAATTAGGCTAGTGCAGCGGGTACTAGAGGGGGCGGTTATTGGGAATAGGTGGTGGGAGAAGGTTCAAGGATAGGATTAGGTCCTTCACCACCGAATATAGCCAGCGGGCACTAGATAAGGCGAAAAAGGTGAAGACACACTTTAAAGATAGTCTGTCCCGGGCGGAGGCTGGGGGGGGATTTCCTAGAGATAGGTTTAGTTAAGTGGAGGCCCTGGAGAGCGAGGTTTAGCGAGCGCTATCAGGGTCCCCAGTTGACATAGATTAAAGATGTGAACGTGAACATTGGCGCACAATTGCGCAAGGAAGATCAGTCGTCGGTTCCGATCGTTATATTAGTGAAGAGAAAAACTCCGGAGGCCCTGGAGGTTGACTGACGCTTGTGCGAGGCGTTTCGGCGGCATTTCGAGAGCCGATTTACCAAGGAGCCTGGGAAGGTGGCGATGAGTTTCGCAGCTATTTGGCTGACTTTCCTCGGTTTTCGGGGCTGCGAGGGTGAGATCACGGAGGGCGAAGTCTACTCTGCATTGAAGAGGGTCGGGGGCAAGATGACTTGATGGTTTTTGTTTCATTAACATTCAAAACATCCTGGAAAATGATTTTGACTGTCGTGTTCAACGACTGGTTCCGGCAGGGTCCATCCCCAGCCGGATCACCAGGGGTGTGATCACGCTGTTGAAAAAATGGCAAGAATGGGGGATTTAGACGATTAAGGCCCATAACTCTGCTGAACACTGAGGTAAAAATTTAAGATTTAACGGAGCGTTTGAAGTCAGTTGGCGAGAGTCTTTGGGACCCGATCAGACTTGTGCTGTGAAGGGTCGAAAAATTCAAATTAACCCGCATCTGATCCGCACGACCCAAATGTAAAAACTGCAAATGAAATTTGGATCAGTCCAAGGCATTTGATAGGGTCGACCATCGGTAATGTCCTGCAGGGGCCGCCTGATTCCAACCTTGACTTCTGCAAGTGGATTAGATTTTCCCCCAGTCAAATGGTACAGATGAACGGAAAGCAGTCGCGCGCTTTTGCGCTGTCTTCAGTTCATCAGGTTTGCCCACAAAAAAAAAGAAATTTACGTAGAATTTATATTTGAGGGACGGGGCGTGCAGTCCGGCCCTACGTGGAATCGCTGTCCCTGGTGGGGATCGAAAATTTAGCGTACGCCGATTTCATATCCATTTTCGTGTCGTGCCGCAGCGACACAAGGTGGTACAGAAGGCTCTTGAACGGTACGAAAAGGTCACAAGGGCCAAGATTAACCGTAACAAGTCTTCCGGCTTGCGGTTAGGTGCCTGGAAGGGGTTTCTCTTCCGGGGCCCTTCAGTTGAACGGACGGTCTTTTTCCGCATTCTTGAAGTTTGTGACCTCCAGCTGGAAAAAAATTGGTCAGAAGTACAGGCAAAGGTCGGAGCGTCGGTCTCAACTTGGCTCCGAAGGAGGTTTTTATTCAAGGGTAGAGCTGAGGCGTGTGCCAATTACGTCTTTTCTCGTAATTTTATTTGTACTTCCTCTTTGCAAGGGTTAGAAGGCGATCGAGTTTATTGTCCACCCTCTTGTGGGGTGGGCGCAAGCAGAAGGTCTGTAAAATAATCTTATTTCCAACGGGGGGCTGGGATTGCCATAAAATAAAGTCATCGACGCGCCTCGAGGTTGGATTTCCTAAAATACGCCGCGTTTTGACAGAGGATCACGATACACACACACACACACACACACACACACCACCCACACTAAGCGCCGTCGTAGATCCATATATATATATATATATAATGAAAAATATCATTCATCGTAAATCAAAAATAAAGAAAGGTTCTTGTTTTTTGAATTTAAGAAATTATCTGATCGGATAAACTTGAATAAAATAATAATTTTCTGTTTTTGAGCGGGATTAAACAATAAACTCAATTTTCATTGCAAAATTAAGTTCCTCTCAAATTTTCAGATGGGGCTCTCATTCGACTGTTGTGGTATTTTTTAGATAAAACGGCTTTGCATGATTATTGTCCTCAGGAATACAGATATATTTGGGATATTCTGACGGTCTCGTATTTATATTTGTTTATTTTAGTTTATGGACAATGTTTATATTCTGAGGTGAATCGAATCTTTCTAATTGATATACAGCAAGAATATATTTGAAATAGAGTATTTGATGGGAATATATCTATCAGGTTCTGATAAGATCTATTTCATCATCATCTGAAAGCTGAAATCTATCTAATTGATCGTTTATGGTGTCGACAGATTTCAACGAAAGGTGGGTCGAAATCGAGTTTCTATGTGATATAGGGGACTTTTTTAATCTGTTCATAGCAATCTATCTCTCACTATATATATACATATATATTTATATATATAAATATACATATATATATATTAGTTTATTCATATCTATCTATTTATCTATCTATTTATTTATCTATCTATCTTGTACGTAAAAACAGCAACATTTACATTTATTTCTACTCATTTTACATTGTCGAGATGTAGTAGAGGGGGGTGCCCCCGTGTCATAGATTCTGGTCTGAGTGAGACACCAAAATCTTCAGACGATGAGGACTTTTTTTTTTGGGGGGGGTCTTTTTGGCTTCTTTTGTATTTTTCCATTCGTCTATATTGTGTATTCTTCTTAGTTTCCTACACAAGTTTTCTACTAGTTTTTGGTTTCTTTTTCCCATATTAGTTTTTGTAGGATTTCATTGTCTGAAATTGTTGGTATATTTAAAAAAAATGTCTTTCTGATCTTTTAATTTAATGAATGCTTTTACTTTCATTGTTTCATTCTATTATTTAATTTTACTTTGGTTGCTATGGTTTTTACTTCTTTATTTTGGTTCTTTTCTAATTCATTATTGGTAGTTTGGTAAAATTTATTTACTTCTTTTTCATTAATTGCTTTAACAATATTACAAATAAAAACAATTTCACTTGTATACAATTAAATATAAAAGACTTTTATCGATCTAATACTGAAATCACTAACGTCACACACACGCACACACACATACACACACACACACACACACAAAGACATGTACAAATAGACAGACACAAAAATATAAATTTTATATATCAGTCTGTCTATCTATCTATCTACTAATCCAGCTTCTTTCACTCATGATATGTGGGCAAAATATTCATAAATAATTTTATGGAAGAACAAATCGAAAGAAATGAACAACAACAACAACAACAACAATAATAAGAATAATAATAATTATAATAATAATCACTGACGTCACACACACACACACACACACAAAGACATGTACAAACTCAAATAAATTTTGTATATCAGTCTGTTTATCAATCTAATCCAGCTTCTTTCACTCAAATGAATAATAATAATAATAATAATAATAATAATAATAATAATAATAACAAGGCTTCAACGATTATTATTGTTGTTGTTAGTCAACTGGATTTGTTGTTCACTAATATGAAAAGCCAGAAACATGGAGAGAGTAAATGAAGGGGAAGGGAGGGGGGGAATAAGCGATGTGACGTCATGCGAGTTTAAGGCATTTCATTGGACGAGAATAATCCCACCACAAGACTGGAGGGCGTTACTTGAGATAACAAGGAAAGAAAAGTATGGAAGGGAGGAATGGGCAAGAAGAGAGAATGTGAGAGAAATCGAAAGAAACAAAAGAAGGAGTGGTTATCGATGCAGAAGTGAGAGGGAAAAAAGGGAAAGAAAAAATGGTTAAAAGAAACAGAGAGACTGAAAAAAAAGAGAAAAGGGAGGCTCCAATTCGCTCTGTTCACAATCACTTTTAACATTCAGATGTTAATTGGTTCAATGTCCATTTCACCGGGCAAAGAAATTAAGAAAGATGGCGGCCTTTTATCGTCTGTTTACGAAACGATTCTATTTTTTTTTTTTTATAACAACAAAATTGAACAAATCTTCTTAAATAAACTGATCCACCATTAAAAATATTTTTAATGATATATAATATAATTTTAATGATATATATATATATATATATATATAAGAGAGAGAGAGATGAAAAGAAATGAGATATATATATATATAATATATATATATATATAAATATATACGATAGAGATATATATATATATATATATATATATATATATATAGATAGATATATAGATACATAGATATATATATATATATATATATATATATATATATATATATATATATATATATATATAGAAAAAAGAGAGATGAAAAGAAATGAGATACATATATAGATACATAGATAGAATGAACTTGCCTAGATAGATACATAAATAGATAGACGAAACAGAAGGACGAATATAAATATATATATATATATATATATATATATATATTTAAGAGAAATTTAAGAGATGACAAGAAATCAAGAAAATAGATAGGTAATGAACTTTATTGAGATAGATACAAAAATAGATTTTTGATAAATAGAATATGATATATATATATATATATATATATATAGAGAGAGAGAGAATTGTCAGAAACAAACAGACAATAGATAGATAGATAGCCCAAAATGGTTTTTAGCAAATATATAAATAGATAACAATGAACAGCAGAGATGATATATATATATATATATATATATATATATATATGAGATAGATAGATAGATAGATAGATAGATAGATATGAAAAGGACTGAGATATAGATATATAGACTAAAAAATCATTATTTTTTTTTCATACTCAGCAAGCACTTGCGTCGGAGTGGCTTTCTTGCCTTCCTTTGGGTGAAATGGTTTCAAAATTAAAAAGGAAGAAAATGTTTCTTTCTGTTCATGGAAACATTTAAGAAATTTAAATGATTTTGAAATCAATAAAATTTATACTTACAGTTGATTTCAATTTCACTTGAGTGGAACTGGTTTTTTGTCAAATGGCGTTTGACCAAAACAAACTGCAAACGTTGTCTTCTTCGTTGAATTGTTTGAAACAAACTGACTATTGCCATCGCCCAAAAGGGTTTAGTAATAGCCAATCAAGATGTAGGATGACGTCATGAAATATAAGGCATTTCATTGGACGAGAATAAACAAACCACTGAACATGAAATAAAACGAACTATGTTTAATATGAAAGGGAAAAAGACAGAAAAAAAATTTATAATAAATAAATCCGAATAAAATCGTATTTAATTCCATAAATTATCATTTTATGTAAATAAAACCAAAATGTTGAATAAAATTAGATTCTTTATTTTTGAAATCAAATTCATATTTCTTTTATTTCTTGTTAAAAATCCAAAACGTATTTTGAATTTCATGATTTTGAAACAAAATCAAACTGAAACTAGACGTGTTAATTCCGAGAAATGTGAAAGAAACAAATTATGATTCAGTGGGAATTTCTGATGACCTTGAACCGCGATCAAATGTCAAAAGACTGAGATAGATAGATAGATAGATAGATAGATAGATAGATAGATAGATAGATAGATAGATAGAAAAATAGGTTTATTTATTAATGGCATCCTTAAAAAAAAGTCTATATCCTATCTAAACCGGATTCCTAGAAATAAACATCTATTTTCAGGGATTAATAGAGGTTCTCTTTTAATAGTAGAACTACAAATTTGGTTCCTTATAATTATGAAAACGAAGATTTTAAAACATCATTGGTAATATTTCTTTAGAATATCACCATGATCTTTTAAAATTATCGTTTTTATTATTTGCTCTGTTATTGACATTGAGCTCTCTCTGGATCTATATCCTCTTTAAAATTATACAACTGATTACCAAATATTATCATATATATATATATATATATATATATATATATATATATGAATAAATATAGTTTTAAAGTGTACTGTATTTATACATTAAAGTGTTCAATATCAACTATGAATCCTCTTCTCCCTACCCCAACCAATAAATAGCAGGACAAATGGCAATTGGTATAAAACAGAAAGAAATGAGAACCTACTGCAGAAAAAAAACTGCCTCGTCAGTCATGTATCGAAAGATACATGATCGCCTAAGCGTATATCGCGTATGGCATATGACTGAAGGTGAGGGTTGTACTCGTGAGTACATTTATTTTTTGTATTTCTTTAAGGCATTGGCTGTCACGAATCCTTGTATTTTGATAGTTTTTTTGAAGATCTTCAAAAATGCATTGCAGTCTGCATTGACGGCCATATCAATAAGGAGGCTTTTTTTGTTGTTTGATGTCTTTAATAACAATGTCTGGTCAATTAGCTTTAAATTGTTCTGTCTGTGTGTATTGTGAAGTGCCATAAAATTGTTAAAGGTCTTCTTATCTCCGTAATCGGGTCTGGGTGGTCGTCATACCAATTTCTTTCAGTTCCCGTAGAAGTTGCAGATTTTCTAGTGTAGATATTGGCCCACTCTGTCATACCAGGTTTTATATTCAGTGGATGTCAATACCGTGCAAACTAATACAAGATTATTATTATTATTATTATTATTATTATTATTATTATTATTATTATTATTATTATTCTGTTTCTATTAAAACAATTATAAAATCTTTTCTGTCAAGCAAGAATGATTTTTCTTAATATTGAAAGAAATTTAATTTTGTGAGTCATTTTCCTACTTATTTCTTCTGACATTCATATCATGCACCACATTCAGTAAAAACTCTACCTTGAGAGGCTCTTGAAACAAAAATCCATGAACTTTTATAAAAGTTAAAAAATGAAATAAAGACTTATACTCGATTAATATATAATACAAAAAGCGTAACATGCACTCATGCACACACAGACGCACATATATATATATATATATATATATATATATATATATATATATATATATATATATATATATATATATATATATATATAATACTATCCAAGAGGAGCTATTTAGAGGTCTATATACAAGACGGAGTAAGAATATAACATAAAAGTCTCAAACTCTAATATTCCATGGTTATAAATTCTTCCATTGGAATCGTAATCAGGATCCAATTCTTCAGACCTACAAATTCAGAAAGAAAACAGAAAATATGAAACAGAAAATTTAACTCCAGGAAAATTATTGAATTTGTAGGTTTGATGAATTGGATCCTGATTACGATTCCAATGTAATAATTCATAACCATGGAATATTAATGTTTGAGCCTTTTACATGATATATATATATATATATATATATATATATATATATATATATATATATATATATATATATATATATATATATATATTATTGTGTATTTAGGCAGCATCTTTTCACATTTTATATATGTGTGTGTGTTTGTGATTATTTTTTGAAATTAAATTATGATGTCGTAAATTGTTTATTTTATTTTATGGCATCTTTTACAGTGAGATTTTAATAAATAGAAATTATATAGAATTCTTCATCACCTTTTAAAATACAGGTATTTTTTTTAAATTTTATTCGCAAATAAAGAATGTTTTTATATATACATTTGAAAAAATATTTAAAAAATGCTGTTACCTATTATAACTTAAAAAAAGATCTTTTGGGTGGTAGTCAAAAGATGTTACCTTGATAATTGTCAGTGGAAATTTATCTGAAAAGAATCCTCATCTTTAATGATATAATTACGGAAACAATTTATTAAAATTCGATAATTAGACAATTTTTGTGAATTTTAAATTCGACTGGAAAAGAAAAGTTGTCGTTATTTGTTAAGAAACCATTTCCATGTATTTTTTAAAATTTATAAAATGGAAATTACACACAAAAAATCAATTGATATGAACAGATAGACAATGACTATTTTTATAGTTGAGCATGACAATCGAATGTGGGTAGAAAAAATATAAATGCTGATTATTTTGCGTACAAGATCGATAGATAGATAATGTGAAGATAGATAGATAGATAGATAGATAGATAGATAGACTGGTATACAAAATTTATTTTTTCTTGATTAAAACAAACAAAACAGACAAAAGCAAGAATTTTATGAAAACATCCGAAAATATTTCGTGAAGAGACTGGTTAAAAGTTGGAGGCAAAAACTTTCAAATACTTCAAATTGAAAATGTCTCAGAAAATGACGTACATATGAAAATCTTTTCATGGTAGATTGAAATTTACTTCTTTTTTGTTTTATATTGAATCATGTAAATGTTTCTAAGGATAAAATATTATGGGATGGGCTGTAAACTTGAAATGATATGCGAAAGGGTCGTTGCAACCCGATGAACACCAGGTATGTGTGCTGTGATGAAACGAATAAAAACTGTGGAAATAAAAAAAATGCTTGATATATATATAATATAAAAAATATATGATATATATATATTATATATACAGCAGGACACTCATTTCAATCTGTATGATTATGATGATTTAACAAGGACTTACTGACGATTGAAACGATAGGACACTCATTTCAATCTGTAAAATAGAAATGACCTGAAACGATACGCAAAATAGAAAGACCTTCGAATTAATGTCGACAGTGAAAAGTTGAATCATTTGAAAATGATTTTTCTGGTTATTAATCAAAGAACATAAATTCTTATTACTTATATGAAAAGTAAAATCGTTTATCTTCGGAAATACTGAACACCAGCAGAGCAATGATCAAAAAATTGGTGTTTCTGTCTTTAAACAAAATCATGGCAATATTTAACATTAGTACCCGTCAAAAACAAAACCAAAAACGATGTGTCAAACGGATCAAGGGAAAGGTTTATCTAAAGTCTGCCGCAAGCAAGACTGTTGCACCGGCCATGAGGCCGTCTGTTGTGTCTAATCAAAGTCAATTTCTTTTTAGTTTAGGATTTTCTTTCTTGCCACCCACCATTATTATTATTTTATTTTTTTGTGGAGATTCGATAATTTTCTGAAATTGTCATTCATTATTCGTTGGCCAAATGAGTTTTACTTTTTATTTATTTCAAATCATTTTAAGACTGAATTTGCAAAGTAACTAGAAACAATGAATGAAAAAACTGAGAGAGAGAGGGGGGGAGAGTGAGAGGGAAGAGAGAGGGAGGGAAGGAGAGAGGAGAGGGAGGGAGGAGGGAGGAGAGGGAAGAGAGAGGAGGGAAGAGAGGGAAAAAAAGAGAGGGAAGAAGAAGGAGGGAGAAAGAAGAAAAAAGGTGGGAAGAAGAATAAAATAGAAGAAAGTATTGGCACTTTTGTTTCTGAAGATTCCAGACGGAAATTCCAAGTCGATTTTACGATGTTGCTTTAGGTACAGCCATAGAACCTATTGAAGAAAGAGAGATATCAACAATTCATTATTTCATTTCTTCTTTGGGATTTTAGAAGGAAGCTTGAAGATGGATTGTCATTCAAACAAGCCAATTGCTCACTGTAGCTTATCCAGTACTTTGGAATGAATTGGCAGTCTTCCATCAGATGAGAATGATACAAAATCTCTTGTTCATATAAATTCACAACTTCATTATTTAAAATATTCTTTCTGAAGTTCTGTGTCCTGTTGTCTAAGAACCATCAACAACATATTTCTCTGTAAATGCCTTCAAGGGGGCCAAATCGTTTTTGGAACTCTCTTCAACCAATAAATCCCCGAAGAGAATTATGGGCATTTCTTTTTTATGATCAAAGATTAGCGATAAAAAGATGAGTAAAACTACACAATGCAAATGTAAGGAAAGAACGAATTAGCAAAGAAAAAATATTCAAAAGAAATTCATAGAGAAAAAAATATGAAAGCCATCTTAAAGGTAAGATTAGAATAAATGTGGCCTTGCAGGAAACAAAATCAAAAACATTATGAAATTTACTAGCGTAGTGGTGCCTATTACAAAATCAAAGTATTTAGGTACGTGTTTACTAAAATACCAACAATTCTCTTCTTTTTTAGTTTTCATTTACTTGTACATACTGAATATGAAATGATTTGTTTAAAAAAAAACTTGTCTAAAATCATTCTGAAAAATATTTCTAAAAAGTTATGGGCAATATACACCAAATTCAATTCAATATATATATTCATCAAATTCAATTTTGTCGGTCAAATTCCGAGAAATCAAAAATTTAGGTCAGTTGTTCCGCGGCTAAATCAAGAAAAACAACTTCTTTCACTGTTCACAATATCTTTGTAAATATTTTTAGCGAAGGAAGAATCAAAAGAAATAAACAACAACAACAACAACAACAACAATAATAATAATAGCAAATTTCGAGAAATAAAACTTTAGGTCAATTCTTCGTCGAATTGATTACAAAAAAAAACAAATTATGATTGAGGCTGAAAATAATAAAATGATTATCGAATTAAATTCTATAAATTTTATACAAATTTTGGTATCACCACGGAAAATGGGATGCCTCTGGTTTTTTGTTGATCCAAAATGGTAAAAGTTGAAATTCTTGATTGTTTACGACGAAAGTTAAATTATTTTTTTATTTTGTTTGTCCTTTTTCTCTCTTCCAAAGAAAATAAATATACTGTCATGAATTAATTTAAGATAAAACACTTATGAACTTATCATTTAAAATCTGGCCTGTGAGGCTGTCTGTAATGTAGCAGTGACAAGAAGACATAATTTCTTTTACTGTTTCGTGACATAAAAAGAAGCAAAAGCAAACATTCATGTCTTCTTCATTACAAAATGAATGTCCCTAAAAACCTCTTTATGTGCCATGTCCCTTCATGATGTAGGCGATCATGGCACTCCACAATTCCTCTCCTTTGTAGCCCTTAATAAATTTTGTCTTTTTGTTATTTCTCCTAAACCCTGTTCCACCACCCTCTTCCTCAAGTTTAGTATGTTATGTGTTGTTTTCCTCTCACTTTTTTGCCTTTAATCTCTCCTGTGAGTATCAGATTTTCCAAGCCTTCTTTCCTCATTATGTGCCCTAAAAATTTCAAATGTTTTCTCCTGATGTTAATATAAGTTTCCTTTTTTGTTTCCATTTTCTTTAAAACTTTTTTGTTGCTCACATGTTTGCTCCATTGTATTCTCAGCATCCTTCTGTAGAACCACATTTCTGTTGCTTCAAGTTTCTTCATTGTTGAGAAGACTGTCCAGCATTCACTGCCAATATAGGAGGACATATCGCATAACAGTTCAGTACTCTTGTCTTTGTTTCTAACAAAATTTTCTATTTCTTAATATTCTGCTTAGTAGATTGAAATTTGCTTCTTTTGTGTTTTATATTGAATCATGTAAATGTTTCTAAGGATAAAATATCATGGGATGGGCTGTAAACAAAAATGACATGCGAAAGGGTCGTTGCAACCAGATGAACACCAGGTATATGTGCTATGTGATGAAACGAATAAAACTGTGGAAAAAAAAAAATGCTTGATATATATATATATATATATATATATATATATATATATATATATATATATATATATATATATATATTGAAACATATTCGGACTAATATTACTAATAAAGAACATGATTATGATGATGATTAACAAGGACTTACTGACCATTGCTCTACGGCAGGACACTCATTTCAATCTGTATATATCATTTTTACATACATGACATGAAAAGATACGCAAAATAGAAAGACCTTCGAATTAATGTCGACAGTGAAAAATTAAATCATTTGAAAATGATTTTTCTGACTATTAATCAAAGAACATAAATTCTTATTACTTATATGAAAAGTAAAATTGTTCATCTTCGGAAATACTGAACACCAGCAAAGCAATGATCAAGAAATTGGTGTTTTTGTCTTTAAACAAAATCATGGCAATATTTAACATTAGTACCCGTCAAAACAAAACCAAAAACGATGTGTCAAAAGGATCAAGGGAAAGGTTTATCTAAAGTCTACCGCAAGCAAGACTGTTGCACCGGCCATGAGGCCGTCTGTTGTGTCAAATCAAAAGCAATTTCTTTTTAGTTTAGGATTTTATTTCTCTGCCCCCCACCCCATTATTATTATTTTTATTTTCTTGCGGAGATTCGATAATTTTCTGAAATTGTCATTCATTATTCCTTTCCCAAATTAATTTTACTTTTTATTTATTTCAAATCATTTTAAGACTGAATTTGCAAAGTAACTAGAGACAATGAATGAAAAAAACGAGAGAGAGAGAGGGAGAGAGAGGGAGGAAGAGACGGAGGGAGAGAGGAGGAGGAGGGGGGGAGACGAGAGGAGAGAGGGAGGGAGAGAGGGAGAGAGAGGGAGGGGAGAGGGTGAGAGAGAGGAGAGGGAGAGAAAGGGAGGGAGAAGGAGGAGGAAGAGAGAGGGAGAAGGGAGAGGGAGAGGAGAAAGAAGAAAAAAAAAGGTGGGAAGAAGAATTGGTAAAATAGAAGAAATATTGGCAAATCCTGAAGATTCATTCTTTTCCAAGTTTGTTTTACGGTGTTCTTTTTAGGTAAAGCCATAGAACTTATTAAAGAAAGAGAGATTCCAACAATTGATTATTTCATTTCCTCTTTGGGATTTTAAAAGGTAGCTTAAAGATCGATTTAAGAATTGTCATTCAAACAAACCAATTGCTCACTGTAGCTTATCCAGTACTTTGGAATGAATTGGCAGTCTTCCATCAGATGAGAATGATACAAAATCTCTTGTTCATATAAATTCACGGCTTCATTATTCAAAATATTCTTTCTGAAGTTCTGTGTCCTGTTGTCTAAGAACCATCAACAACATATTTCTCTGTAAATGCCTTCAAGGGGGCCAAACAGTTTTTGGAACTCTCTTCAACTAATAAATCCCCGAAGAGAATTATGGGCATTTCTTTTTTATGATTAGCGATAAAAAGATGAGTAAAACTACACAATGCAAATGTAAGGAAAGAACGAATTAGCAAAGAAAAAATATTTAAAAGAAATTCACAGAGAAAAAAAATATGAAAGCCATAGAATAAATGTGGCCTTGCAGGAAGCAAAATCAAAGACATTATGAAATTTACTAGCGTAGTGGTGCCTATTACAATATCAAAGTATTTAGGTACGTGTTTACTAAAATACCAACAATTCTCTTCTTTTTTAGTTTTCATTTACTTGTACATATTGAATATGAGATTATTTGTTTAAAAATGAACTTCTCTAAAATCATTCTGAAAAATATTTCTAAAAAGTTATGGGCAATATTTTAATTCACCAAATTCAATTTTGTCGGTCAAATTCCGAGAAATAAAAAATTTAGGTCAGTTGTTCCACGGCTAAATCAAGAAAAACAACTTCTTTCACTGTTCACAATATCTTTGTAAATATTTTTAGCGAAGGAAGAATCAAAAGAAATAAACAACAACAACAACAGCAAAAACAACAACAACAACAACAACAACAATAACAATAATAATAATAATAATAATAATAGCAAATTTCGAATGATTGAGGCTGAAAATAATAAAATGATTATCTAATTAAATTCTATAAATTTTATACAAATTTAGGTATCACCACGGAAAATGGGATGCCTCGGGTTTTTTGTTGATCCAAAATGGTAAAAGTTGAAATTCTTGATTGTTTACGACGAAAGTTAAATTATTTTTTTATTTTGTTTGTCTTTTTTCTCTCTTCCAAAGAAAATAAATATACTGCTATGAATTAATTTAAGATAAAACACTTATGAACTTGTCATTTAAAATCTGGCCTGTGAGGCTGTCTGTAAATGTAGCAGTGACAAGAAGACATAATTTCTTTTACTGTTTCGCGACATAAAAAGAAGCAAAAGCAAACATTCATGTCTTCTTCATTACAAAATGAATGTCCCTAAAAACCTCTTTATGTGCCATGTCCCTTCATGATGTAGGCGATCATGGCACTCCACGATTTCCTCTCCTTTGTAGCCCTTAATAAATTTTGTCTTTTTGTTATTTCTCCTAAACCCTGTTCCACCACCCTCTTCCTCAAGTTTATTAAGTATGTTATGTGCTGTTTTCCACTCTCCCTTTTGCCTTTAATCTCTCCTGTGAGTATCAGATTTTCCAAGCCTTCCTTCCTCATTATGTGCCCTAAAAATTTAAAATGTCTTCTCCTGATGTTAAATATAAGTTTCCTTTTTGTTTCCATTTTCTCTAAAACTTTGTTGTTGCTCACATGTTTGCTCCATTGTATTCTCAGCATCCTTCTGTAGAACAACATTTCTGTTGCTTCAAGTTTCTTCATTTTTGAGAAGACTGTCCAGCATTCACTGCCAATATAGGAGGACATATCACATAACAGCTCAGTAGTCTTGTCTTTGTTTCTAACAAAATTTTCTATTTCTTAATACTCTGCTTAGTTTTAGAAAGGCATCTTTGGCTATCTAAATGTACCTTCGATAAATAAGTCAAATTCCAAGACTTTTGGTTTTTAGTAAAAATATATTGACAAAAATTAGTTTAAGGACTTAATCTAAAATATAACTTAATTATACATATGGTGATTAGTCAAAAAGCAATAGCTGTTCTCATTTTAAGAGTCAAGGTGTCATGTTCTTAAGTAGCCTTGTTAGATAGAGATTTTCATATGGATGTCATGTTCTTCTTAAGATTCTGCTTAGCTTTTGGAATACATCTTTGGTTATCCCAATAATGCACCTTCGAATTTTAATGTTGCCCTTTACGTCCTCTGTTAAATCACCTGCCAAATATTTAAATTTTTGTACTTATTTCATTTTGAATTCTCAATCCCAATTTAAAATTTGCATTTTGGCCTCATCCTTTATAGCTGCCATAAAAAAAAGTGATTAACCAAACCAAATGTGTTCTTTGCAGACATTTTTTTATAAACTTCTTCTTCTTAATAATAATAATCTCTTCAGCCATGTTATTGACAAGCAAATAATATTGGCTTTAAAACTTTTAGTTTACAGATTACAACATCTATCAGAGAGATGAAATTAAAATTTTTATTATTGCATTATTCCAAAATTTTAACACATACATTAAACACGGCATGTGGAACTAGAACAGTCTACCCCAGTGAGTGAAATAAAGGGTTCAGTTCGACATTCCAACCACCTGAAGAAGGCTGGAGCGTACAATGGCCGAAACGTTGTAATAAAATTTGGTGACTAAGATGAGGACAATAGTCCAAATAATGTAAATAGTATACATAATATCTCATCTCAGAAATATAGACAGATACTGAAGACAAACATTAGTAAATAATACAAAAATACTGTAATGCAAACATTCAAAAATTTCAAATTACATACTTTTTCTTTATTTTTTGAAGTTCTTACATTTTATATGATGCATACACATTTTCCTTTTTTACATAAAGGGAAGTAACTGAGGCAGATTAAATCACCAAAATGGAGATGCTCATCCCAATGCTGCAGTGAAAAATTAATTTGATAACAAAATTGATTGAAGCTAATATGGCTAATGAAAAAATGATTTTTTTTACCAGAGATTTATAATTCTTGTAAATGTTTACAACTATAATGTTCTAAGTATCCAACAGGGGAGAAATCTTGGTTCACATCTTTTAAAAGCATATAAGCACAAAATAAACTGTACCAGACAAACTTTGAAATAATTCCATTCCCTATAATGTGGTCCAGTAGAAAACCTTTAAAAGGCAAAACATTTTAAAAGGACTAGCAGCATGGCCCGGCGTTGTCCGTGCTTGATTCAAAAATTGTACGACTCATACAGCAATTACTATCGCTTGACTTAAAATATTTTTGCCCTTCCTTGCCTTTAAAGGAGTGCCCTTTGCCGTGCTGATGTTGATACATGCCTTACTTCTTGCCTATCTCACACTGTAAATTTTTTCTAAGCTCTATACTAAACATTAAATTTGTTACGAAAAAAGAACTAAACAAAATGAACACAAAACGATCAACTGGAAAAAACAAATGAAAAAAGAATGTTAACAACAAATACTTTTTCACACCCAACCCAGTTCTGCGAGTTTAAGCAAGCGAATGAGCCAATTGGAGTAAAGTGTCATGCAGATTCAAATTTTTCCCATTTGTGACGAATGCAGCTATCGATTTTTTTAATGCTAATTAACATTCGTGTCAGTCAGCTGTTGCATCTCACGCTGGCCAATAGAATCTTCCTGCCTATTTGTAGCAGCCAGCTATAGGCTCTCACTCTGGCCAGTAGAAAATGGCCGCAAACTACATAAAAACCGCCGTAGAAGCATGAAAAAAAAACAATTATTTCACTATCGATGGGAGTTGGGAAATGCAAAGACAGTCTTGGTCTTTCTGCTAACTTGGAGCATGTTTATATTAATATATAATGTTTATATTAGTAGACCCGGGAACACCAGCAATCAAAAGGAGGCTCCACGCTCATCCAAGCCTCCCGACCAAAAACCCTGCCTTTGGACATAGTTTATCGTCTTACCCTGGACGTGGATGTAGTTTATCGTCATACCCAGGACGCTTGTCTTCAGTAAAATTTTCTTTTTAATCCTTGTCAGCTTCAATTGTCGAACGGTTAATCTTTATCTGAAGTCTTCATCTAAGTGATTCTTACTGATACCAACTGGAGTTTGTGGAAAAAACTTTTTTTTTTACTGACCATAATGTATCTTATGCATAAAAGCAATTAAAAGCTTTTTCTAACTAAATAATGCTTTTGTTTTATTGCAGTTTTTATTTTAGGATTCAGAGCAGATTTTCTGTAACTGCGGGTCCTGATGATTTAAATTCTCCAAGGACTTGTCCTTATAACTAATATAAGCATTAAGATCTATAAAAATTAATTTCTCAATGATTCATGAATTAAGAATTCTAAAAAAGAAATATTTCTAAAATAATTTCATTTATTTGTGAGTTTATTTAATTCTAGAAAGACTTTGGGTTGTCTGATTGTCTATGGTGGAATATTGGCTGCAGTAATTTCTTGTATGTTTGAGAGTGTGGTTCCTAACACTTCAGCGATGGATTTCATCCTTAATTCCATAGGGTTGTATTGTATTGTCTTTTTATTGGAGTAGATTACAATAATTAGATTTAAAGGTACTGTTGTACGTTGGGTTAGTTGGTCATGATTTTATTTTGACATAGTACTGTAGTGCGAGTTTAGTATTCCTTAAATGTGGAGGTGTTTCATTAGCTTCTGCGTATAAGCTCTCCACTGGGGATGTTCTAAAAGCTCCAAGTACTAGTCTGAAGCCTTGATGATAGGTTGTGTCAAGTATTTTAGGTATGATTTTCTGGTCGCCCTATACTAACGTAATTCAATTTTGAGCGAAGTAGTGATCTTTATAATTTAGTGTTTGTCAATCTGCTCCCCATTCAGTATGGGCCACTACATGCAGAAGTTGTAGGCCTTTACTACATTTTATTTAAAAATATTTTAGATGTGGAATTAATACCTAGGATCTTGTGTTGTTCCAATACTGGGATTCCTGCTCCGTCTAATTTTAAACAGGGGTCGATG